GACTACCTAGCAGAGGCGTGCGAGGCGGGCGGCCGGCCCGCGCCTCGCCCGATTGGCTCGAGGGGTTTGGCGCATGCGCCGAGGGAATTAACCGCTCGCGCCGAGGAGCCCGTTGTGCGGAAGGTTTTGTGGGGTGGGGAAGGACGCGAAGAGCTGACCGGTACTTCGTTGAGGTTACTTGGGGGGACAGGACATCCCCTCATTAAGGGAGGAAGTGCGGCAGCGGAGATGGTTTTAGCGTGATACTGCGTCGAAGTAACGAGTTCGCTATTTTAGTGGGCGTGGTCGGTGACTCATGGTGACGTCACTGGGCCCCGGTGACGCCATCGTGTAAGCGCTCCCGTCTCCGAGCTGCGCGAGCTCGGGCGACCACTGGAGGGCAGCAGAGAGGGTTTTCTCTTTTCCGCCACCTAGTGGTTCTGCAGCCCAGCTACGGTGGCTCCACATTTATTAAACTTAGGTGTAAGTTAACTTTACGAACTCTCCCAAAGCATATACGTAGCTTTATAACATTTTCTACTGGGCCTTTTATATCATGCTAGTTCTTTGTGCCAGCACAAGTACAGTAAGTACAATATGTGTTGGCATAATGACCCTGATGCTGAATGCTATCAGGTTAAATTAATTCAAGAATTCTGTTGGGAGAGAAAGCTCTCTGCAGTGATGCAGGTATTAAGAACATAAAAACAATAACCATGCAGTATAACTATGGCAAGAAAAGGCTAAAAACAGCAGAAGACAAATAAGAATTAAAAGACAATTCCAGATTTTGTTCCTAATCTCTCAATGCTCTCTAAAAGAGCCAGGTCTTTTTTGCTTGGTAAGAAGAAAAGGATTGTTGGCGCCCTACAATTTTAGGAGGGAGTATGTTCTCTAGGGATGAGGTAGCTACAGGTAGTCCTCAACTTAACAACCATTTGTTCAAAGTTACAACAGCCTGAATGAATGGTGGTTATGCACCCCTGTGGTCACGCAATTGCAATCTGGGTGCTTGGCAACCTATTCACACATGACCGGTTGCCAAGTGCCCTGTGATCACATGATCGCCATTTGCAACCTTCCCTGTTTGCTTCCCCAGAAAGTCAAAGGGAAAGCCAGCAGGGAAGATTGCAAGTTGCTGGGGTACATTGCCCCCACCCATGCACCCTCCCCCAGCCCCTCTGTGCTCGTGCTGCACTGGCCACTCACGCACCTCCATGCACCCTCCCTGATCTGGGCTGCACCCCCGTGCACCCTCCTCAACCTGCACAGCACCTCTTGCTTACCCCCACACACCCTCACGCACCCTTTGCAACCTGCGTGGCACCTCTTGCACACCCTCTCCACCCTCCCAACTTGCACGGCACCTCTTGTGCGCTCCTGTACATCCTCCTCAGCCTTACCTGACTTGTGTGGTGCTTCTCACGCACCTCCTCACACCCTCGCACACTTTCCCTGTGCTACACTTCTCGTGCACTCTCTTCGACCCTCTTGCGCACCCCTACCCAGGCCCCACTCCCTCTCCCACCTGGCAGCAGCTATTTACCTACCTGCAGGCCTGGGACTTGCAACGTCCTGCCGGCTTCCCCACTGATTTTGGTTGTGGGAAGCTGGCAGGAAGTTGCCTTCCCTAATGACCATGGGACTCAGTTAACAATGGCAATCGGGACTGGAGGAATTGCCATCGCTAAGCAATGCGGTCGTAAAACATGTAAAAAGTTCATGGGGGTTTAAATCTGATTCCCTTATATACTCTACTAGCCCTTGCCCCTTCAGTACCATTCTTTAAGTCATGCTAAATGTGATCAAATGTTGAGCAAGCCAGCCAAAATGCTGATAATTAGCTTCTCTTTATTTTACTGTTTATTATAAGACTTTGAAAAGGGATTATGAAAATGAAAATCTGAATGCCAGGTTTGTTCACTTTCTGGTAGGTTTCTTTTACAAGAAGCAACCATGATGTGGCAACCTTTTCTGGCTAACCTGCTGTTTCTCCTCCTCCAATTGAAATTTTGCCTCTCGCTGAGACAGTGCAAATGGCATGCTGCACTTAACGCCATTGATAGGCTTGGAGGGGCCCGAAAGAGCTACATCAATCAGGAGGAAGTTCGTAATGTGGCCACAGTCTTCAAAGAACTAATAGATTCAACAATAGACCCCAACGACAAAGATGCAGTGAGTACCTCTTGCCTTTGAGTGTATGAAAGACAGGAGAGAAGAAAAGGGCATTTTGTTCCCAGGTTCTGCAAGGATTTTGGATGAACCCTGGAAGAATCAGGACACTCAAAAGGAAATATTTTTTTGTGCAACGTATAATTAAACTTTGGAATTTGCTTCCGCAAGGTGTGGTGCCAGCTACCAGCTTGGCTGGCTTCAAAAAAGGGTTGGACAAATTCATGGAAGTCATGTGGATCAGTGGGACTGCTTCTGGAGGCCATCTGCTGGGAAACGAGTGGGTTTGGTTGCTGCTAGACTAGATGGTCCAGGGGTCCAATCCAGAAGAACACTGTACTGCTTATGTTTTTATGCTGTTACGATTCCTAAATGTGATGGAATGTATCTACGAAGGAGGAGGTGGTGTGATGGAATGCAGTAGAGATCTAGGTTCCCAAGAAGGAGGGCAGGACAAGAGACAGCACAGTCCAGAGCAGGAGTGTGGGAAGAAGAAACTTAAGATAGCCACTCCCTAGAATCTCTCAGGATATATCTGTTAGGTTAGCATAGTACTGGCAAGATTTTGTCTATATGGTGTAAGCAATAAAAGAACTGAACTTGGTTGGACTGTTTCCCTGTTGATCTTGGGCTGGGCCTGACACTAAGCAGCCGTATATTTTGTGCTAGAGCGGTTGTGACACTAGGCTGCAGGTGACTTGGGAGAGCTGGCAGTGAGGCGAGGCAGATTGTTGGCCATCAGCACCATGACCTGAGGGGCGAGGTGTGCTGGCAAGCCACAGATTGTCACAGACTGGGCTCATACCTTGTGTTACGCCATCACATGTTGTGTTGGGTTTGGGCTTTCTGTATTGTATGAACCTAGCCACTCTGGTTTGTATGCTCTGTGAGAACTCAGCCAGTGGTGATTTCTTCAGTAAGCCATAGTTTAAATAAGCAAAGGGTTAATGCAAGGTTTGAACATGGCTTCTAGAGCCAAACCTAGCAGACAAAGTTAAGGCTGATAGTCACTTGATGTAGAAGCTTTGACAGAGTAGCCCAGTGAGGTAGGATAATCCTGCAGTCTTGAGTGGCTCACCAGTTACATTCAGCAGCACACAAATCTGGATGTCTAGTTCTGGTAGTTGCCATCTTAGGAATTTGCACAAACCTTGTACTGTCAGACATTCATGGGTTTCCCTTACAAAATAAATGCTTTTTTTTCCAAGGCTGCTCTTGATTTAACCATTATGCATCAAAAGTTTGGGGAATTGCTCACTGGAGATCTAGCTGATAACAGATCTCACTCGTCTTATGAAAAAAGGGCTATGTGTTATGTCTATGAAAAGAATTCTGAAAATAACTCTATTTCTCTTTTTAAAGCATTACTATGGATTTCCATACTACCTGAAAATTGCTCTGGCTTGCACCTCTCGGGTAAGGATGAAACGTGTGCGTAACTGGAAAACATTTATTGACAGACAGGAGGAGAGGGATTAGGCTTGTAAAGGCCCTGTTCCTGCTTTGGCAATCTGCAGATTAGCCCTGCAGAGCAAATCTAAACTACCTTAAAACAACTGCCTTGAATTGGCCCCACTTCTGTTGTGGGAGAGAGGCAGAGCGGATTACATCTTTAGTGGGCCTCTGGATGCAGTGGGAAGCCGGCACAGGCCAGTCCCCTGAGTTCATTTGCTCAGAAGAGCTCTGTGAGAGACCAGCTGCCCTTCTCCTTCCAGCCTACAGACATGGCTATTCGGGTGGGCCACTACAGCGGATTGAGACCAGTTGTGACAGTCAGTTTTGAAGAACCCGTCAATGCCGTACGCCAAAAACAAGAAAGGTTACGGATTGAAATGAAGGCTGCTCCTTACCGGGTGACAGGTGGGTTTGTTGCAAGGAGTGTTTCAGCACATTTGTAGAGGCTGTGGGGCTGGGGAAATGGGAAGGTCTTCATTCCTGTCTATAGGCGGCGTGTTGCTAATGGTGTCAGAGGCCTTTGAAAAGCAGAGGGACCCATCTGATCCAGTTCAGAGGAAATCTTCCTTCCCAATTCCAGTGGTGTATGCTCAGAGTGACTCTGCAGCTGTTGCTCGGGCTAGGTGGCAGGGCTCACACCTTTTGGACTGGCATGTTGTATAAACCCAGATTTGTAGCTTGTATACCAGGTCTATGGCTTAGTATGTTGCATCATATTCATTAGATGGTGGTTAAACAAACCATGGTCTAGAACAATGTGTGAATTCAGTCACATATTGTCCTAAATAAGATGGCCTCTTTGGTTTTGCTTTAGGGAGTTGGTAATTCCAGCAAATTGTAGTTATTAAACCATGGCTTAAATGCAGAATGTGAAGCTAGCTGCTGCCTTACTCATTTGCTAGATGATGTAAAGCTCTGCCTCTAATATTGTGGGGAGCAGGTATTTGTTGGGCTATAATTTTCCCTTTGTTTTAGTGATGTTCTGCTTTCTGGAACAGTAGGCCCACGCCCTCGAGACTGGTTTTGTTTGTTTGTTTGTTTGTTTGTTTGTTTATTATTTTTAACCACCACGTCTTAATCACAAAGAGAGAGTAACTGCATGTGTAATAGAGTTCTTTGATGCATGTCTGAGCACTATTTTTCTGCAGTCACCTAGAAGTGGGATTAAAATAGCAATTGCGTACCACACTTAGACTATTGCTATTTCATCTGCTAATTTTCATCCCCAGAGGCACGATCCTTCTTTAACATTTACTCAGATGTACGTCCTATTGCAGTAAACGTCCCCTGCTTTTGCCCACTTTTATTTTATTTTTGTGAACGCAATTTTGCAATTGCAATTTTGATTATGCAAAAGTAAATTAAAAATTAAATTAAAAATGGCTCAGCCTGCACAGAGGAAAACTATAATTAAATTATCAGGAAATAGGAATTAACTAATTAAGGGCCAATTGAAGAATGCTAGTTAGGTGAGAAGGCAATTAATTCCCAGGGGCAAATTGTTTTAAAACAAAGGGACCAAGAAGAATGTGTATATTTTAAAGAATTTATTTCTTGGCATATTTATATAAAGCTTTCTACGTCTATGCAGCTTGAGAGGATGCTAGCTCTGACAAGTTTTGGTAGCAGCTTGAGAATCCAGATGGCATAGGTCTTTATAGTGGTAACCCTCTCTATGAAAAAAGCCACACAGCGTGTCTGAGAGAATAGGGGAAAGAACCCACTGGCATGGAGTGATTGAGCAGTATCATTTGATTTTGCTCCCAAAATTGAAACAAAGAAAACTATCCCAGAAACTGGGTGGATTTCTGCACATGCTCTACGTAGGGTAGCCGATGGAGACCGCCTGGGAGGTGCACATGGTAGAAGTGATGAGAACCCAGAATCACCTAACACCAGCATCGGTTGACAATACGTTTCCAAGTACAGTTCAGAGTATTGCTCAAAGACCCTTGGGTTTGAATAGAACTAAGCCATCCAGCGCGTGTGTGTATGAGAGTGAGAGAGAGAGAGACCGTGTGAAGGAAATGGAGGGGAAGGATTGAGAAGAGGCCCCCATATTTGGGGACCATGGGAAGGAAGCACTGCAAAGAGATTCTGCCTTAATTAACTTACATATTTCAAGATGAGATATTTATCCTGAGTGCATTAAAAATGCCTTTCCAAAATCTATATGGGACTGGATTCTTGGATTTGTTTGACAGTATGCATCCGGATTAAGCATGTTGAGGGTTCCCCTTTGTGAAATCAGGGGTGGGGGGCGTGAGAAAACTAAGTTGTTCAGTCTTTGCCCAGGAGATTTGGGGTGGGATCTTCCTGATTGACCTCCAGAAAAGAGATCAAAAGAGAACTGTGCTGGAGAACATTTAATTTATACTGGTGCTGGGATGGGTACCAAGGTGAAGCACTGTCTATTGAGGCAGTTTGGTGTTTAACTTCTGACAGTCCAGGGGGAGCTGGGCAGTAAAATAAATAAATAAATAAATATGTAAACAAATATACACCCTGATACCAGCCAGTATTAAGGCAAATGATGACTTTACTTGGTATGTCACACGTGTCTGCCACAAGCCTCTAGCAAGTAGTCTGCTGATGTATATTTCCATATGAAAATAATATAAAAATAATTCCTCTGTCTGGTAACACAGGGTAGATTTCTGCTCATGTAGGTATTTCAGCAAGTACCTCAGCCTGGGTGACCTGTTACTCTCTGTCTCTCCTAATTCAGAAGGTTGTGATAGTGAGGAAGTTTGCAAGATGTTTTGGCTCACCCCCATGCCCTTCCTGAATGGCAGCGTTGTGACACAAGTCTTGGTGAAGAGCAATGGCCTTGGCCTCCCTATAGACAATAGGAGGTAAGAAGAGGCTGGGGATGATTGTCTTCTAGACTTCCCTTTGCTAAACTCTTCCAACGAGGAAATTAGTTCCAGTTGCCTTTTGATTTCTCCCTTTCCAGAATGTCTCCTGCAGTGGCCATAAGATAATTTTATTCTGAACTAGCTGACTTCCCTCTGCCTTCCCCATTTCTTTTTCCTTTTGTTGCAGGTCTCTCTGACCCAACTTTCATATTACAGTATATGTGCAGTATTATATACAGTATAATTTGCTTTGGCAGACAAGTTATCCATAAATGTTGTACCTGAAATATTCATAAGCACATGCTTCCTCTTTTACCTTCTTCCTAGGTTCTACTTTAATATTAATGGATTTATGGAACCCGCCCAGAAAACGGAGAAATTCAGGATTGGGAAAAAGGTGACTTGCTGGGGTCTAGGGATTGTGAAAGGAGGCATACAATGCTAGAGATGAGTCAGTGGCCTTAATAAGTGAGCTTGTGTTCTACAGTGCAAAGACATATTCAGGTTCCCCTGGCCAGAGGTCATGCCTGCAGCCCCTTTCAGTTGTGGATCCAGCAGTTACTTTGGAAACGTTCAGCTGGAGAAAGGAAGATGCGGAGCCACAGTTAAGGAAACTGCTATAGGCTTGCCAATCTTTCTGTGACTGGGCACTTTCCTCTGAAGGGTCTTCACGCAGAAGATCTCTCCACTTTTCTTAAAAACTTGAAACTAACTATTGTGACTTCAGGGCCTTTCCCTAAAGTTCAGTTAAAGTGCTTCTTAAACTGGCACAAAACTAAACCAGCATCCAATTTGGTGCCTCCACCACTGAGCTCTACCCTGATCTATAGCTTCCCTCCTAGCTTGCCACTTGGTGATGGTGCATTGATTTCAGGTAGACAAAGGGCCATGTTAAGCAAAGCCATTCATTAAACCTTTCAGCTTTGCAGCCCTCCCAGCTTCTTGCCAGCCGATGGAATACCATCTGCCAGTCCTAGTATTGCTGTGGTTTTCACGGATGGCTAGGCTCACAGTTTTAGCCATCATGCAAAATCTGGTAGGTCTCCAAACCCTCCAGACTAATGTTTCTCAACTTTAACAACTTTAAGATATGTGGACTTCAACTCCCAGAATTCCCTAGCCAGCATGGCTGGCTGGGGATTTCTGGGAGTTGAAGTCCACATATCTTAAAGTTGCTAAGGTTGAGAAACATTGCTCCAGATGATTAATGGGGTGGGGAGCTGCCTGGTAAAGAGGAACCTTTTGCTTTACCAGGCAGCCTAGCCAGTCCTGCAGATCATCTTTCCAGGAACATTGTTTTGACAGTAGATTTATTGCAAAGAGTGCTAACCTCATGCTAAAAACAAGCCTGCTGGGCAGCGAATCCTCTTCAGCTTTACCAGACATCCATCGATCAGTTGTCCAGAGACCTTGTTTTGAGTGCTTACTTATTGGGGCCCACTGCACAGCTGATCAGCCTACTCTGGAAGGTGGACAGTTTGGTCTTCCCAATTTACCACAGCCCGCTGGGCAGCTGACCTGTGGATTTTGTGAGGTGGTGGGTACAGCTAATGAGGCTGATGTGAATGAGACAGACACTCTGGCTTGCCAAAACAGAGCGTCCCTGGAGGAGAGTATGCTGGAAACAGAGGGGAGATGAAGACAATATCATGCAGAAGAAAAAGGGTTGCCAAGGCATGTTTGTCCTGTGCTTAACTGCACAGTGGGGAATGCCCTGAATCTTCCCATCCCAGAACAAAAAGAACCTCTCCTTGCATGTAGAAAACTAACCCATCAGAAAGTAGGTGCAGGTGAGCTGCTGCTTACTCTACAGCCCGCAGTGAGGAGCGGTATGGTCCAGCTAAACTCTACCTGCTTCATGTGGAATCAAAGGTTTTGTGCTGATGGGCAAACACTGAGCAATGTCTTTTAACCCCCTCTCTTGTTGAGTACAGTTGTACATCTTGAAGGGTATCCTATCTCTGAAAGACCCATCGCGTCCTTTGTGGGCTACTTACCAGCGAGCGCCTGTGCTTATCCTGGGAGGCATCCCTGAGAAGAAAGTTGTCCTCATCTCAGATACAGCCTTCGAAACGTACCACCCAATAGAGGTAAATAGGGAGAAAAATGACTACAATCTGGTGTCCCATTTGGGGTTCCCTCAATGACTTCCAAAGCTGGGTTATAAAATTGCCAGCTCTGGGGTTGCGAATAGAGGATTAAACGTGGCAGGGGTGGCAAGCGGGCAGTCCCAGATCACGTCCCTGGTATCTGCAGTTCAAAGGCTGGATGGCTAAGTTGGGAAAGATGTTCTTGTTTGGGACGGCTGTTGCCAGCCACATGAGGAGCCAACAATGGTGGGATAGCATACAACTTTTGAACCAAAATGCTGAAGAACCTGACCCTTCCCCTAACACACTCTTGACCCGTGGGAGAGTCATTCACTCCTTACATAACTCAGTTACTTCTTCCAGCTTTTGGGGCATTCAGGAATGAACAGCTTAGCTGACCTAATATTTTGATTTCTAATCCTCTTAGTGTCATTAGTGTACGGGGTGCTTTACAGAATTTATGAGGTAGAAATGGACAGGTCCTGTCCACCCGGAATATATGCAGGAAAAAGTGTCTTTTCTGCTGTTCTTAGGACAGGAATTGTGCATTTCAGCCTAGGAGGAGCTGACTGAGGTCAAAGGATAACAAGAATCCCCAAGGACTAGACCAAGTTCCCACACATTTTCATTTGTTTCATTTTATTTGTGGTAATAATACTGCCCTAAATGGACCAGTGGCCCTACTAAAAATGAACCAGTTTTAATGTCAAAGCCTTACATGATGGTCAAATCGTCCAACTTGTGTATGAGTTTGGCTCCTTTTTTGTTAGCTTCCAAATAATGTGGGGCTGCTCATTGGAGGGCTTCTCTTCTTATGAGCGAATGTATCTCAGGAAGCATTCTTCTTAAAATATCCATCTGTTTTCTGTGGCCATGAATAATAGCTCTGAGTATAAATGTCATATGTTACTTCATACAGTTATGATACACAGGAGAAAAGTGTCTTCATCCTGCCCTTGGCCTTATGTCACATGGGAATGCACTTCAGCCATGTAGATTTTAAGATTTCCTGTGTTCAAGCATCTTCAAATATTCTCTCCCTTTCAGGAGCTTAAAGAACTGTAGTTCTGTGATCAGAGGGTAGAAAGTTCACAACACTCTATCAGTAGCAAACTACAAGGTCCAGAAGTCCCTGAGAGGTGTTAAACATAGCAGCAACTCATCCTGTTACTAGAGTAGAAAATGGCCCTCCAGAGGTTGCTAAACTCCAGTTCCTGTCCACTGCAGACAACCAGGCCAGTGCACAATGTTGATGAAGGTTTTAGTTCTACACCTCTGGAGGGTTACAGGCTGCTGCCCACGTGGATGACAATACAAAGAAATGCATTTTCCCCAGTTGGAGATGCCCCCATCTCTGCTCAGCACACGGCTTGTGCCTTTTGTCTCCTGTTCTGCTACAGGTGGGCATTGACAGCTGCTGGATCGGCTCCATTTCATGCCCGCAGGGAAAATTCTCCTCCTCCATTGTAGACACCATTGCTACTGAAAGCACTCTCTTCATCCGACAAAACCAACTGGTCTATTACTTTACAGGGCATTATCCTATTTTGCACCAAGCGACCAAAGGTTCTGGTACGTGAGCCTAAAAAAGCCAAAGGTCCACCTGCACCTGCACTACGCTCCCAGGAGTTTTTGGCAGTGTGGCATTACCAGGAAGGTCCATAATCAATCAGAAACAAAGCTTTCTGCCAGCGAGTCTATTCAACCCATTTGATTCCTCGCATTCCCCCTTTACCCCAAGCGTTATTAAGATTCTAGAAACTGAACGACCTATAATTACATGTGGAAATGTGACTTCCCCTTATTTAAGTAGGTCCTCTTGAATCCCATGGGACTTACCTCTTAATAAATGGCCTAGATTGCAGCCTTAGCTTTGGCTTGAGACTGGGCTACCAGCTGGCGTGGGACGAGTCAGGAAAATGAATGCCGCTGCCAGCTTCTTTCACCTTTCCTAATTGGCTGCTCCTCTCTGCAGGAACAATCAGGGGTCTCCACAGAGGGACTGGTAATCAAAAAGTCAATATGACGGCTGTAACTGTGTGACTGAAGCCCTCTCCCTGCACCTTTTTACCTGCTTCTTGGAGAACATGAAAGCTCCAGCAACTCCTTCCATGGTTTGTTTAGTGCAGCTTTTCTCAACTTTGGCAACTTGAAGATGGGTGGACTTCAAGTTACCAACGTTGAGAAGCGCTGGTTTCGTGTGATGTGCAAAGCAGGAAGTCCATTTTCCTTTCCTTCTCCAATGCCAGCACCACAAACCCTGGCGTGTCTTTGTTTTCCAAGTCCTTTGTTTCTTTGAAAGAGAGAAGCCAGAGATTTCCACTGAGGCATCAAAACTTTAAAAAGTCACAGCTTCTAGGCGTTCTTTTGCTGCTTCTGCTGGCTGGAGATACCCAAAGGCAGCTATGAGCATGTCAGGTTTAGCCCAAAGAACTCCAAGAGACAATACAAATCCAGTTCTACTGTGTTTAT